AAAAAAAAGAAAAATTAAAGACAAGAAAGACTAAATAAATAAATAACCAAACAAAAAAAAGTAAAATCCCAAAATAAAGTGCTACTTTGAAAGCATATAAGCTACAACTCTATCTACCAGTGTGTTAGTTTAAATCTTTAAGACAAAGGTAAAAAGCTAATCGCAACAGGCTGCAATAGGTTGTGTACAACTGGATAGCATTTATATGGTCTTTTCTTTAATTTACAGAACAGTAATACTGTCCACTTGTTAACAAAGAGTAAAATTAGAAAATGATGCTTGGAAACAGAAAACTCTAAGCTGAAGGTCACTCCGGCCAATGGATAGAGACATGGGCAGAGACATGGACACTGTGGACTTTATTTGTAACAACTGAAAAAGAAAATAAAACAAAAAATTGAAGTAAATAAGGTAGAGAATGAAATTTCACAAAGCTGGTAGGCAAGTGCATGACTAGTCACGAACTATTCTTTATGGAAGGGGCCCAAGTAGTGTAGTGGTCACGTGTTGGGTGGCAACCTCATGGTACGGCAGTTTGAAACCACCAGCAGCTCCAAGGGAGAAAGATTGGACTTTCTACTCCCATAAACAGTTACAATCTCCATGGGAAACAGACCATGGGAGGAGAGTGTATCTGAATGAATCCTTTATTCTTATATATTAAGAAGCCTGGCATGGAGTAGGGAACCAGTGGAGAGGCCTGAGGGGCTGGCCCCAATCCCAACTACTTGGACACCTGCCCCTCCCCCCAGAAGAATTTATTTCAGAGGACAGCACTGAAGCTACAGCTCAGGGAGAGGGACATGTCTGATCACAGCACATGGGAGCATGTGAAGGGGGAGAAAGAGAGAGTGGAGCACATCCTGGCCCACCAAGCCTTGAGGATGATTTTCCCGCTCAGAGCAGCCAATCCACAGAGAAGACCATATGTCCGGCCCCACTATGAGAAACGACTTCCCTCACTGACCCATAGCCCTACAGGAGACAACACTGGAGACACAGTGTGGGAATTGCACCTGATCTGATCCCACCACACCGAGGAAAAGCATGAGTGGAAGAGAACAGCAAGGGGAACAGATCAATGAAGTCCTCAGGGAATACCAAAAATAGACTTTGGGGCCAGGGCTTGGCGCCCCAACAGACTCAACCAGAAAACACTCCTAAAGGCCAACAAACAGTCCTTGAACTAACTGCAAGCTTTTCT